AGGCTGAAGATCGCAGCTGCTGGCATTCCATTTCAGTCACAGTATCAAGACCTCAACTCTTTGTTCTCCTGAGTTTTTCTTGGCCTCTCATGGCTGCTTCATGATTGCAAAGTGGTTGTCACAATTCTAAACTTCCCTTTCCATGTTGGGGTAAAAAAGCAAAAGAAGTTACACCAAACATGAGCAGCCCTTTCATTAAAAACGTCAAACTGTCCCCAGAAGATGCCACCGTGGACTCCCTTTAGCATCCAATTGTTGGAAGCCACGCCCAGCCTTGGCCACCAGAGAAGCTGCTGGCAGGGAATGGGATTGTTGGGACTGGCTGGGACTTGTTGCTTCCACCAACCAGATCCAGATTCTGTTGACATGGAAGAGGGAATGGAATGGGACTCCCGTAGCAGCACTCATGGGCACAAGGTGATGCACTTTTGAGACTCAGTGTCTGGTAGTAGCCCTCGGGGTGATGACCAGCCCATGCCATTGTTTCTTGGAGTCAAAGCAACTTACTGAATCAATGTGAAAATACTGTCAGGTAAGTGCAAGCACTACTGTCTGTTTAGGCTGTGTGAAGAGGCATTTAGATGTCTGTCCACTATCTGTCTTTGAAGTGCTGACAGTTCAGAGCAGTTCTCAGTTCAGCGCAGACTGTATAAACAAAGACAAGTGCAGAAAATCAGGGAGGTGACGTTAAGAAGATGTAGAATATGAAGGCTGCTTGGGGGTCCAAGAATGTTCAGATTCATTAAGCTTTGTCCTGGGAAAGGAAGTTAAGTTGCTGAATGGGATGCGGAGTAGGGAGTTAGGAAGTAAGATTTAGCTGAACACAGACACTTCCATGAGGTTGAGGTTGGATTGCCTTGAGGGAAACAAGCAGGACTTGGGGAGGGCAGGAAGGGAGAGGCTCCTGATTTAGCTATCAGTTATGCAGTTGCCCACCAAGGATGAGCACTAGGCTGGGGTTGAGGGTACACCCAACAGGAGGTGGTGGGAGCTGTGTGGAGTGGACATCCTCCTGTTCTTATGCTCGTTGCTATGATGAGAGAGTGCAAAGGGAGCCTAGCAAAGTGGGTGGCTCTGCCAGGCCCTAGAAGAGGCCAAAAGTCTTCATGGGAAGGGTGTAGGAAAGTAACTGTTTCTGGAGCTGTGTGGACAAGAGGGACATGGTCACTGCCCATGGAGGTGGCACTGACCAGTGCTGGACTTGGGCTTCCAGGGGAAGGAGCCCACATCCCAAATGATCATTAGCAAACCTGACTTGGGGGCGGGAGTTGCAAGGGAGTTGGGAGTAAAGAACTCTGGCCTGAAGAGCCAGAGGGCACAAGAGGAACAAGCCTGAGGAGGTGGCCAGGGAGCAGCAGGTAAAGCACTTGGCCCTCTGAGACTGCTTTGCATCCTGCTCCCCCAGGTCATTCAATTCTTAGGACAACCTAGACTCCAGCAGGGTGGATGTGACCACTGCCTCCTCCCCTTCCTGAGGCTGAAACAGACATGAAAGCCAAGGCTTTGTCTAAGGCTAGCCACTGTAAGGGACCAGCTCAACTTGGCCTGAACATGACCGGTGGTCATGGGCTTAATAGGTTTGGATTTGGAAAAGGCAGTCGGGAAGTGAAGAGAGCAGAACCGTTTTGCACTAGTGTGTGTTTGATTAATCCAGCCACATCAGCTGACAGTTGATCGTCCATCCTTTGTAGCCACTGACCACCCGGCTGTAGATATCTGGAGGGGGAGCTGTAGAGGAGACTTTATCAGTGACGTGTTCTGGAAGGTCACTCTTTGGAATGAGGAAGGCGTTTGGGTATTGGCTCTTACTGGGCAAGTCACCCAGTTTTCTTATTTGTGAAATTCAACTAATGTAATATTCTCTGTGAGAGTGTATGTGTTGTGTGTTTAAAAAATGTGATGTATGTGCCAGGCGTGGTGACGCATGCCTTTAATCCCAGCACTCAGGAGGCAGAAGCAGGCGGATCTCTGTGAGTTCAAGGCCAGCCTGATCCACATAGTGAGTTCCAGGACAGCTGGGGCTACAGGGAGACCCTGTCTCAAAAAGACCAAAAAAAAAAAAAAAATGTGATGTATATATAGAAACTCCTGTGACTCATGCGGTTATCACTGTTGATGCTTTTCTAAGCACCTGCTGGTTACCAGGCTCCACGCCAGAATCCAAAGTAGTACATGAGCAGGCCCCTGGGCTTAGGGATGCCTCATCAGCAAGGGAAGCCCTGGTGCTCCCAAAGAAGCACCAGCCTGAAGGGAAGGGAACAGAGAAGGAAGAGGTGGACACGTCCATCATCATCAGGTTTTTCCTGAACACCTACCTAAGGGTCAGGCCTTGAATCAGAGAACATTCCAGAAGGACTGTCAGCAGAAGTGGAGACTGCCTGATTTTGCCTTGCTGAGCAATGGATGATTTACTTTATGTTCCATGGCTCTCTCTGGTTGGCAGAAACCTAGGGAAAGAGGAGAATCCCCCAGAGTGGCTTCAAAGTGGAGCAGGCCCCTTGTGGAGTCAAAAGTGAGAGAGCATGTCAGACCCTGGGCCTGGTGAATAGGGTCCCCACTGTCCTCTGTGAATGCAGTGGGTACCAGTCTAGGACATGCCAGCATTCAAGGAGAAGCAGAGCTCAGTCCAGGTGGGAGAGCAGTTAAGCAGGGGTCTGCTGTGTAGATGTGCCACAGGGTGGACTCAGAAACTCTTCTAACCATGGAGAGAATCATCCTTCTGCACCTGCTGGAGGGGCTTTCAGGGATTAGGACAGAAGGTGAATTCCAGTTCCACTGGTCTGTAGGGTCAGATCTGTGCTAGATGGATCCAGCGGTTCCCTCTGTTCCCTAAGGTCCAGGATTATTATAGAGGTAGAGTCTAGAGATGCCCTGGAGCAGTGCCCATGGGCTGTGCATCTCTTAGCTCATATTGTCAAGATTCAGATGCTGATTCAGAAGCTGGGGATGTAGCTCACTAGATAGAGCTCTTGACCAGCATGCACAAAGGCTTGGTAGCACATGCCTAATAATCTTAGCACTGGGGAGGAAAAAGGAGGATCAGAAGTTCAAGATCATTCTTATTCTTGGCTCACATCGAGTTGGAGGCCAGCTGGGGGTACATGAGGGAAACAGAGTTTTTGAGACAGAGTATGAAATTAAACAGATTTGGGTGAGCTGGGGCTATGTAGCTCAGTAGGTAAAGTGTTCCTCTAGTTTGGAAGAAACCCTGAGGACCATCTCTGCCCCTCAGAAACTGGGTGTGACGGCTTATGACTGTAATCTCAGCCTCTGGAGGTAGAGGTACTAGGATTCATTCAGGGACATTTTTGCCTAGGAGACAAGTTCAAGGCCAGCCTGAGCTACTTGAGATTCGGTCCTTAAATAAAAAAAGATTTTAGGTGATAAAAATGTTAAGTTGTAACTGGCTCCCCAAAATAATTCCTTTCAGGGCTTGCAGGGCTTAATTTCCACTCTCCAGAGCTCTACTCCCTTTACCCTCCAGGAAAGGATCTGGGCTGGAACCTTTAATTGGAAAATGGGGGGGTGGGGGGTGGGCGTTGCCCTCAGCCTCAAAGGACTTGCTCAATCCACCAACTTTCAATTGCTGTCTTTCTCTGGGAAACTTCCTCTTTTCCTGGGGACTTAACTGGTTGTGTATGTTATCAAAGAAACGGCCAGAAAATGAGCCTTGACAAGAATGGATGTAAATCATCCTTCCATCAAGTTGCCTTTGTTCTGGCTTCTGCTGTGCTGGGAGATCTGAGTGGGCAGGCTTGCAACCTCCCTAGATGGGAAGAAGCTCTGCACTTCACTTCTAAGATCTACAAGTGCTTATTGGAAAAAGGGAAGGATGGGTGCTAAGGTGATCTGACCAAGGCTGTGTAAGAGGATACTCTTACCCTTTAGGGGAAAGAACAGAGTTTAAATTCTGTCTGTTAACTCCAGCTGAGGCAGCAACCATGTTTTCTTTCTTTAAGGACTCTCTGACTTGTATTTTTGAGGCTCTTTCTCTCTATCTGACTTTTGTATTTTTGTATTTTTGAGGCTCTTATGGAGCCCAAGCTGGTCTCAAATTCCCTGTGTACCTAAGGATGACCTTGAATTTCTGAGCCTTTTGTTTTCACCTTCTAAGTGCTAGGATTACAGGCCTGTATCACTACAACTGATTGCATTGGGGTTCAAATGCAGGGCTTTGTGTTTACTAGGCAAGCCCTCTGCTAACTGACCTACATCTCTGTGCTGGATAGCTTTAATGTCAACTTGACACACCTGGGTTGAGGGACCCTCAATTGGGCAATTTCCTTCATTGGACTGGCCTGTGGCCATGTCTGTGGGGGCATCTTCTTGATTGTTGTGTGATGTGGGAGGGCCCAGTCCACTGTGGGTGGTGCCACCCCTGGGCAGGTGGGCCTGTGTTGCATAAGAAAGCAGGCTGAGCACAGGCCAAGAGAGCAAGCCAGTAAGCAGTGATTCTCCATGGCCTGTGCTCCAGCTCCTGCCTTCAGGTTTCTGCCCTGAGTTCCTACCTTGGGCTCCCTGATGAACGTTGACCTGGGAGATGTAAGCCAAATAAACCCTTTCCTCCCCAAGTTGGTATTGGTCGGAGTGTTTTGTCACAGCAATGGAGAAACAAACTAGGACAATCTCTAACCCTCCTTTTCCATCTTAGTGAGTTAACTCAGCCTTCCCTAGATGCAGAGCAGATCTGAAACACCATCAGTGGGCAGAGAATTGTGCCTTCACTTTTGGAGACAAAGGCTCAGGGACTAGAGGTCTCATAGGGTAATTTGAGGAGGATGCTGAACTTGGAGACGTAGGACCAGGGCTAGGGCAAGTGGGATGGGCTGTTATTTCAGATGATTGTTTTAGGATTATCTGGCCTTCTGGTCTCAGGCTGGCCATCTGGGCACGAAAGACCGTGAAGGTCTTAGCCAGGCAGTACTGCAATTCCAAAGTCAGTGCCAGTACCCTGGGATGTGGAACAACCCTTGAAACTGTTTCCTTCCCTTTTTTGGCAGGTGTGCGTCTTGACCGAGTGCGTGGAGGCCGCCAGAAGTACAAGCGACGGCTAGACTCTGAGAGCAGCCCGTACCTGAGTTTACAGATTTCTCCACCTGCTAAAAAACCATGTATGTACCAGGCTGGTCCCGCCCCCTTCCCAGCCTAAAAGAATCTGGCATCTCCTGGGGTGGTACTGTCTTCCCTCCACTGGGTGGTGGGAAGTATGGATCTGGGGAGCATCAACAGTGCCTGGCACTGCCTAGCTTCGTCAGAAAGCCTGTTCATATGGGATCGCACAGAACAGGGCTCCATGTGAGAATGGGCTCAGCATCCAGACCTTGCCCTCATTCCCACCCTCCCAGAGTTACTATTGCAGGGTCCTCTGGGCAGGGGATATTTCTCAATTGCCACATTGCTACTGCTAGCAACTTTGTGGAGTCAGTGGACAGACTGCAGCCACATTTGACCCTCCTAGAGCTCTTAGGAACCTGACTCAGACCAAACCTAGCCTCCGTCCTGCCCCTTCCCTCTTTCCCAGGCATTTACCCATCCTTCTTCGGTCATTGCAGTGACTAAGATTGTCTCATACCTGCTGGTGGCTGAGCCGGACAAGCTATATGCCATGCCTCCCCCTGGCATGCCTGAAGGGGACATCAAGGCCCTAACCACTCTCTGTGACCTGGCAGACCGGGAACTTGTGGTCATCATTGGCTGGGCCAAGCACATCCCAGGTGAGTCAGTGGGGTCTGGGGGTCAGGTGGTCAGGGGCCCTTGGCTAGGCACACTTCATGTGGCTCAGATGCTTGGTGCCTGTCCTCCAGGAAACCTGGGTGACCTTGGCAAGCCTGCTTCTCTTAAGGCCCCTTTCTTTTATGGGATTGAGGGGAACAGTGTTTGGGAGGTCCGGTAATGTTTATGAATGGAGGGTCCAGAAATGTTTGTGAACTGCTAGGGGACCATCAGAACCCGCTTGTCACTTTAGGAGCTGAAATGTACAGCCAAAAATAGTCCAGGAACAAGTTCCAAAGAGTAGGCTTTTCTGTAGAATTTATTGGGATTACACTGGAAAGCAGCTCACTTCTTCACACTAGATGCTGGCGATGAGGAGTTAGGAGCTTGGGAATTGAGTCAGATTGTAGGCCTGCAACTTCCTAGCTGTGTGAGCTGGGCAGGTGAAATGGGAGTGTGGGAGCCCCTCCTTTGCGGTTTAACACAAGGATGTAATGAAGTCATGAGTGCCAGATGCAGTGCCTAACACATGCCAGTGTCACTTGCTGTATGTGCCATGTGACCGACCACTTCCTGGATCTCTGCCAGGCTCTTGCTGTTGGGATTCCATGCTTTAGGGACCACAAAGGCCTCTTCACTCTGTGAACCCACGCCTCACTGTGAGTCTGTCATTCCACATTGTACATACATGGGGCCTTTCTCTGCCATTCAAAGCTCTCTTCCTGTGCTCTAACACCTTAACTCGGGGGCCAGAGACATCCTGTTACCCTTTGGTGGGATTACTTCTCCACCCCACCCCTACACCCCATTCTGTGGGCTCTATTTCTAATCAGGCCATGGCTAACAAAAACAGTCTACAGATAGGAAGATAGACTGGTGTCTCATAACTAGATGAACACAGTGTTTATGGCAAGTGACATGGCAAAGGTGTCCTGTGAACACCAAGGCCAACAGTTGATCGAAGTGATTCAGCAAGTCCTATGTAAGATCTCAAATGTGTGTGCCACAGGAAGGCACCATCTTGTGAACAGGGGCTTGAAGAGAGGCTGGTGGTGTAGAGATACTGTTGCTGACGCTAACACTAACCTGCAGGAAACCTAGGGGACTACGAGGTGGTCCCAGATATTCTGACTTGGGTGGGTTGTCACGTGTCTTACTAGTGTACCCTTGCTAAGGAGCTCAGCCTCTCGGGATTACACACTCAGTAGTTTTTGAATCTGTCCTGTGCTGGCTCAGCACAGATAGATGTGGGGTCAGGCTGCTACTTAAGACACCTCAGCCTGGATTGCTCCACTAACCCTGGGCCAAATTAGGCACAGCCACCCCAGCCCTGCCCCCCACACCACTCTTCCAGGTCAAACAGGTACAGCATCTTAGGGATGGCTCGGGAGTGGCACCTGGTGGTCCCTTGGGTCAGTGTATCTTCTATCAGTCTAACCCTATGACACTTCTGAGGGAGGGGAGTATGACCAGGAGACCCTGTCTCCCTACTCCCAAGTGCTCCCATCTGTGCCACATAAGAGGGACAAGCAGAGTGGTTGCTGGGGACATAGATTTGGGAGCCATACAAGCAGGGCTCCTGTCCCAGCTTTGTCCTCACTGGCCTCATGGGAGATCTTTCTGAGCCTATGTGTTCTCATCTGTAAAATGGGAATCACAGAAGGCTCTGGGCAGGATTCCCAGGAAGAGGTGCCATGCTCAAAAACTGCCATGACCACAACAGTTGTCACTGTTACCAGTAGAGGCACAATCCTGCTTTGCACCAGTATTTTCCCTCCAAATCTTGTGGATTAAAAGCAAATAGCTCTGTGTGGTGACTCACGTCAGCATTTAGGAAGCAGGGGCAGTAGGATTGCCACAAGTTTTGAGAATAATCTGTTTTATAAAGCAAATTCCAGGCCTGTCAGGGCTACCTAGGGAAAGAGACCTTGTCTTAAAAATCTGAAAGTATAAATAAGATAAAATAAACAACCTGGGGCTCAGTGGTTAAGAGATGGGCTGCTCTTGCAGAGGAACTGGGTTTGGTTCCCAGCATTCACATGGGAGCTAACCACCGTCTATAACTCTAGTTTCAGAGACATCAATGCCCTCTCCTGGCCTCTGTGAGCATTGCACAACATGGGTGCACTTACATATGTGCAGATAAAATACTCATACACATAAAATAAATTTATTAAAAGATAAATAAACAGAAGCTCATTTGTTTGCTTTATATACTGATTTGCCTATTTGGTATAAATCTGTATGCTGAATCATTTAGGCTTAACCTTCCAGGGTTTAAAGTAAAATTAATTTGGAGGGTCTCCTGCCACTCTTTGTAAATCTCATATTAAGGGCCAGGACAGACCAAGTGCTTGATGTTTTAAAACTAGTTGAGTAAATTCTACCTCTGATTGGATGGAAAACTCAACTGAAGATAGGCTCACAGGGAGGGAGGAAGGGAGGGAAGGAAGGAGGAAGGAAGGAGGGAGGGAGAAAGGGAGGGGAGGGAGGGAGGGAGTCAGTCTTGAGAGCAGCCACCCCTTATCCTTGTGATGAAGAAATTAGTATAGCTCACAGGTTAAGAGCACTGGCTGCTCTTGAGAGAGCCTTGGTTCGGTTTCTAGTACCTGTATGGTTGCTAACTCCAATTCTAGGGGAGTCTAGTGCCCTCTTCTGGCATCTGTAGGTATTGCACACACACATGCAGGCAAAACACACATACATACCTGAGGAGGTCAGAAGAGGGTGTCTGATTCCCCTGGAACTGGAGTTACAGACAGTTGTTAGCCACCACGTGGGTACTGGGAATCGAATTTGGGTCCTCTGCAAGAGTAGCCAGTGCTCTTAAGCATTGAACCACCTCTCCATTTCCAGCCCCATATATTGGTCTTTTTGAGACAGGGTTTCCCTGTAGCCCCAGTTGGCCTGGAACTCACTGTGCAGACCAGGTTGGCCTTGATCTCACAGATCCACCTGCCTCTGCCTCCCAAGTACTGGGATTAAAGGTGTGTGCCACCATGCATGTCACAACAAATTTTTTTTAAATTTAAGAAGAAATTGGAAGAGGAGCCAGCAGTGGCTTTTGCCAGGGCTGCAGGCAGCCTCCTTGCCTCCTTGCATTATTAGCCAGTTGTCTGCCCTCCCCAGCAGCTTGGACTCTACCCTGGCCAGGAGAGCCTTCCTGGGGGAGTCACCACCCCTACCCTGCCCAGGCTGCTGTGTGCAGGGAATCCCCAGAGGCCCCTTCAGGAAGGCTCTGTGGACAGCCTGCTCCCAGGGAACTGCTGTCTGACTAGATGAAGGATGAGCTGCTGAGGGACAGCAGCTGGTCTGAAGTGGCCCCGGATCCTATAATTACATCTCCCTTTATTACCTCTCTAATGGCTCTCCAGGTCGGCAGAGACAATCATAAATTAGCAGATTATGAACTCTACTTGCCACAAATTATGTGCCTTTTTTTTTTCCTTTTTTAATTCTAGGAGCTCGTGGTGTCAGATCATTGGGGGGATGGGCCCTGACTGCCGTTAGATCCACTGGTGCAGATAAAGCAGTTTTTCTGGGGCTGCGGGGCATGTGATGGGAGGCCTGGGAGCCAGGGGCCCTGGGGTGGACAGTGCACTCAGGGTGAGTTGCGAGGGGGTCAGCCTTGCTAGCCCAGAGCCCTGACTACCCCAGCCTCTCCCAGCATTCCTGTTCCAGTGACCCTGGTCCAGATTCCTGATGAATTGATGGAGGTTCGACTTACTGCAGAAGCAGAAGAGGAGGGTGCTTTCCTGAAGGCAGGGGATGGGTGCTCCAGCTGCTTTGGGTTTTAAATCACAGAGCATGTGCTTCAGTGCAAATGCCAGATTGTAATAGGAGTGGAAACTTCCAAACTCTCATCTGAGGCCTCTTATGGGAATTCCCTGTGTGTGTACAACCACTGTGGGAATCCCCTCCCACTGTGGGCTCACATGCTAACACCACTTGACCAGTTTATCATGCAATGGTACCAAATACTAGTACTTCTCACGTGCTAAGCAGAGTTGTAAGAGGTCCACCTATGCACACATTTAATCTTAACACCCCTAACATAGTGCTGTGGTTCCCACTTTACAGATAAAGATACACAGTCTCAGAGAGGCGACCTTGCCTAGGGTCACCTTCAGTGGTCAGTAGAGCAACTATTCTGAGCGGCTGGCCCTAGAGTCTAGGCCTCCAATGTGTCTGCACATCCACTCGAATAGCTCTACCTCACACTTTCTGGTGACTTCTAATGTGCCATTTGTTAACTGAGGATTGTATACATTTCTATAGGATTTATTTTTATTTATATGTGTGTCTACGTGTAGATATGTGCATGTGAACATGGTTGTCCATGAAGGCCAGAAGAGGGCATCAGATCCCCTTGGAGCTAGAATTATGGGGTGTTGTGAGCTACCTAATGTGGGTGCTGGGAACCAAACTTAAATCATCTGAAAGAGCAGCTAGTGCTCTTAACTGTGAGCCACCTCTCCATCCCCAATAATTACATTTCTGTTTTTTTCTGCTTCTCATCGTTTCTGAAAGTGATCTAACAACACCCTTTGACCTTGTCTTTGTGTATTTATGTGTACTTTTGAGGGGAGGCATTTTTGCTGTGGAATTACTAAGTTGAATTTTTTTTTTAAAAAGTGTTTTATTTTATGTGTATGAGTGTTTGCCTGAATGTATATATGTGCACTCTGTGTGCCAGATGCCTGCAGAGACCAGAAGAGGTGTTGGAGCCCCTGGAACTGGAATTAACAGGCAGTTGTCAGTCGCCATGTGAGTGCTGGGAACTGAATCCCATTCCTCTGCAAGAGCAGCAAGGGCTCTTAACCGCTGAGCATCTCTCTTAGCCCCCATTATTTTATTTTGATTGTGCTAACAATTTTACTATTTATTTTTTTCTTTTTTGAAACAGGGTCTCCCTGTAGCCACAACTGGCCTGGAACTTGCTGTATAGACCAGGCTGGCCTTGAACTCACAGAGATCTACCTGCCTCTGCCTCCCAAGTGCTGGGACTAAAGGCGTGGGCCACCACACCCAGCACAATTTTATTTTTGAGCGTCTGAATCATTGACAGGATTTAAAAGCCAAAGGTAAACAAAAATACATGTGTCACGTCCACCCCTGTCTGCTCCCCATCCTCTCCTGGGGGTAACCATGTGTCCTCCCTAGTTTCCTTTCCAGAGCTTGCTTTTCTCAAATACCAAAAACCATTTCATATAATGAAAAACAGTAAATGCTTCCTTCTGAGGAAACCCCCTCTCTAGAGGGCTGAGCCCATTGCTCAGACCTCAAACCCACTTGACCAAGAGGCAGGAGAATGGATGGACCTCTTGGGTGCTCCCTCCTTCTCATGGTAGCACAGAATTTTCCAGGTGACTGTTGTTCCCCCACTTCCCCACGGGCAGGCGAGTCTGACCCTTACATGGGATCTGAACTTGAGTCTAAGGATCTAAGATGTTTTGAACAAGTGCTTTGGGTTCATTTTCCTGCTACCCAGGGGTCCAGGCCACAGGATTTATCCACCTGTCCTGCTGAGTGCTTCTCAGGCTGATTGGGTAGGAAGGCAAGTGGCCTGGTGTCTCTGTTCCTTTGAGTGGAGCTTGGGTTCATGAGCATGCCATCAGTGTCCTTTGGTGTATGTCCTTTGTCCCTTCAGAGCTCAACTCCAAGTTTCTTGTTCAGAGCCTCCCTGGACTGCCCTTTTGGACCTGTTCAAATTGTGCATTCTTAGTCTCTCAATCCCCGAAACTCTTCTTAGTCATAACTTTGTGTTGATTGGTGACACTTAGTGACATAGGACACCTTCTTAATCTAAGCACCCAGAGGCGGTGGGAGTTTTGGTTTGAGCGCACCATCTGTCCCCAGTGCTTAGTAGGACACAAGCATGCCATTAGTCAGTGTCCTGCAGAGATGGTGCCTGTGGTATGAGCCTCCCCAGTCTCTCTCCCTCTTTCCCTAGAACCTGGCTATGCCTCCTCCTCCCTCCCCTGTCACCCTCTAGTTCATCATCTGTTAATTTCCCCCTGTGCTCCTCCTCCAACCTCTTCCCAGCCTTTCTGCTTTCAGACTACCCCTCCCTGTATGGTCCACTCCCCCCCAGCCTCCCCTGCTGGCTGATTGGTATCTGTTAATTAATGTCACCCAAAGTCTCTCCTACTCAGGGACCTGATAAGGGAAATTGGATGTCCATTTCTATCTCTCTTTTATTACCTCTGGCTCCCTGGGCCCCCATAGGTGGTCATACACCCTCCACTAGGAATGTGGGCGGCAACACACAGCTGACCCTGGTGTCCATCCTGTCCCCCTGAGAAGACATATCCATCAAAACTCACTCTGTTGGATGGGTACACCCCTCCCTTCTATGGTTGGTCACTCACAAGTCAGGTAGTGATGATCCAAGGCACAGATTGTACAGTTAGGGCCAAGAGCCATGATGGCTGAGCTTAGAAAATAGAGAGCCCAGTGATTGGCCTTCAACCCCAGGGAGGTTTGCCCTGGGTAGGAAAGAGGAGGGAGGCTACACAGACCCTAAGTACGTCCATAAAAGAGGGAACACTGACTGACTGCTGTGCCAACAAGGGTAGTGACAGCCACCTTAAGCATCCCTGGTGGAGGGCTCCGAGCCCACTGTGTGCCAGGAGCAGTGTGGGGTCTCCATGTCCTTCTGTCCCCATGACACCCTCGAATTGCAAGTGATGACCAGGCAAGGCAAAATCCTAAATTAGTGAATTCTTGAATAGGCAGAGTTACTCAGCAAAATCCCTTCAGTTGCTAACAGCACACAGGGCAAATGGCTTTGTGGATACGCTTCTTCCTCTCTTATTTGTGGTGCTAGGAATTGAACTGAGCTATATTCTGAGTCCTGTTTTTTTGTTTACTTTTTAGGCAGTCTCATATAGCTAAGACTGAACTCCTGATCCTCTTCCCTAGTACTGGGATTACAGGTGTGCACCATTGTGCCCAGCTAATTGTTTCTCTTAATCAATGTAGCTTGGTCAGAGTTAGACTAACCTATTGGTTTCTGGGAGAGCTCCCAGTGAAGTTACTGCCTCCTGTTTAATGGTTAGGATGTTTGAAATTAGCAAACTTAGTCTTCCTCTGTTACCCTCTCATAAATCAAGCTGTTAATTGACTTTGCCTAAATCAAGTCCACACACACAGCAATCCCAGCTTGTCACATCTGGCAGATGCAGACTTTCATCTCAACATTAGTAAGCTCAGTAAATACCTCTGCTCTGTTCTCTAATTATCATCTCTTGTAGCAGCCTCTACTCTTGTGTCCATTCATGGACCAGGAGGCTTGTAGAAGGTAGCTGGCTTCTCCAAGAAGATCAGCCCCCAACTAGGTCATGGGCAGTCAGGGCTCAAGTCCAGGTGATCTCCCATAGCATTAGCACACTGGACAAGTCAGTGTCGTGGTTCTGGAAGTCTTCCCTCCCAGGTGTCCTTCTCTAGGAAGTGTCAGTCTCCTTGCTAGGAGGGAGAGGGAAGCCTCAGAGAGGCAGAACTGCTGAGTGTTCATTAGGGGAGTGATGATGGCCCAGGCAGCCATTTGACACGTGGGAGCACAACCTGTCAGAGAAAATGCCCCTGACCCTGAGAGCCTTGCATGTGTTTACAAAGGCCTCTTCCCAGGTTATGAACAACTAAGTCCCCATTCCTGACTAGAATCAGGATGTGGTGTTTTCTTCCCTCCCTCCCTCCCTCCCTACAGAGTCTCAGTATATAGCCCTGGCTGGCCTGGACTGGAAATGTAGAACAGGCTGGCCTTGAACTCACAGAGATCGGCCTGTCTCTATCTCCCAAGTGCTGGAATTAAAGTTGTGAGCCACTCTACTCCTAGTGCTCTTATGTTCTTACAGATTAGACAACAGCAGGTGAATAGCGTCTGTAGATGACTCATGCACCTTGGAGGGGGAGAACGAGTTTCTTTCCCTTCTAGGCATCAACTTGGAAAAGCTAGACTCTCTGATTCTTCCTTCTCTCCTCTTCCCTCTCCCTTCTCCCTTCTCCTCTCTCCTTTCAGACAGGGCTTTACTATATAGCCCAGGATGGCTACTATTTCCCCCCCCCCCCCCCCCCCGCCACATATCAGGACGAACAGAGAGGGCGCTTGGAAACAACCCAGAGTGGTAGAGAACCCCCCTTCCCACCCTCCCGCACTGCCACCTCCCGGATCCTGCTATGAATACAGTAGCTTCTCCAATTACAGATGTACCTAACTAATCAGCAGGCCTCTCCAGACTGAAAAAGACCTAGAACCAATGATCATAGTGATAACTGTCAACATTGACTGAGCACTTATTATGTAAGTCTCTTCCATGAATTCCAAGTGACTTGTTTACCAAGAATAAGTCAGCAGCTCCACAGGGTTCCTCCATCCCCCAGCAGGACCCGGAGATGCAAGGATACTGCAGCCCACCCCCACCTTGGGTGAACCCCCTTCTGACCATTGGGCCACTTTGTCCCCTTTTGCAGGCTTCTCCAATCTGTCACTGGGGGACCAGATGAGCCTGCTGCAGAGCGCCTGGATGGAGATCCTCATCCTGGGTATTGTGTATCGCTCATTGCCCTATGACGACAAGCTAGTGTACGCTGAGGACTACATCATGGATGAGGAGCACTCGCGCCTGGCCGGGCTGCTGGAGCTCTACCGTGCCATCCTGCAGCTGGTGCGCAGATACAAGAAGCTCAAGGTGGAGAAAGAGGAGTTTGTGACGCTCAAGGCCCTGGCCTTGGCCAACTCAGGTAAAGGCAGTGTGTGGCCCACAGAGGTTCAAGGAGTCTGTGGGAGCCCAGTAAGCACTTTTCAGGCTGTAAGTCTGTTGGGACGTTTCTCATTTAAACCACCACACCCTGCAAGGGTGATGTGGCGTTAAAGGAACAGTCATAGCAGCCAATACTGGTTAGCTCAATGGCTAAGAGTGCAAATTGCTCTTCCAGAGGATCCAAGTTCAGTTCAGTTCCCAGCACCCATGTTGGGTGGCTTACAACAGCCTGTAAATCCAGCTCCAAGAGAATCCAATACTTCTGGCTTCTACGAGTGCACACACACACACAGGCACATGAGGAAGGAGAAGGGAAGGAGGAAGGAAGGAAGGAAGGAAGGAAGGAAGGAAGGAAGGAAGGAAGGAGAAAGAAAGGAGGAAGGAAGGAGAAGGAAGGGAGGAAGGAAGGAAGGAAAAAGGGAGGAAGGAAGGAAGGAAGGAAGGAAGGAGAAGGAGGAGGAAGGAAGGAAGGAAGGAAGGAGAAGGGAAGGAGGAAGGAAGGAAGGAAGGAAGGATGGAAGGATGGAAGGATGGATACGAAGGTCCAGGTGTTGAACCTTGGGTTATAGTGGCAGGTGAACCTGATTTCAACCTCTGCCTACACTCAGGTACAGTACTTGAGGTACTGTGCTGGTTGTCTTCCTTGAGTGATGGTGTCTGACAGTCGTATACCCTCAGCAGGGCACTGTCAGCCCATGGGGGTGGGGGTTTATGTCTGGGCCTTGCCTGTTCTTCCTGCCTCCTCACTTCTTTATTCCTAAACACACCCATACACCCATATACCCTCCTCATAAATCCATTTTTTTTTTTAAATGACAGGGTCTCACTGTGTAGCTCTGACTGGCCTAGAGGCCTAGAACTTGCTATGTAGACCAGGCTGGCGTTAAACACACAGGGATCTGCCTGCCTCTGCTTCCCAAGTGCTGGGATTAAAGGTGTGCGCCACCACACCCGGCTGAGCATTTGTTTTAACATTTTATGGTGTAGTTCTAGATTTACAGAATAACTAAGCTGATCGTACGTGGAATTCAGTGTGCTGCCTGGGCTGCCTCCTCGGTTTCCTTTGTTAATATCTTACATCAGTGTGGTCATTTGCTGTACTTATTGAGCAAATTGATGTCTTTTGGTGTTTTGAGTCAAGATTTCACTCTGTAGCTCAGGTTGGCCTGAGACTCAGAGCAATCTTCTCCTGCCTTGGCCTCTAAGTGCTGGGATTACAGGCTTGTGCCACCATAAGGCTGATGCATTATTACAGGCTGATGAACTATTACTTACCAGAGTGATGTTTCCCTCAGGGTTCACTCCTTGCCTTGTGCATTCCTCTGGGTTCTGACAGTGCATAATGACATGTCTCTATCATATGAATGTCCCCCTGAGTGTCACCTCTTCAGAGGGAAGCGTTTCACTTAGGCCACGTAGCATCTCAAGAAAAGGACAGTCAGAGCAGTTAGTACAGAAGAGGTGAGCAGGGTTCAGGGCTCACCAGGCTGCTAGCCAGGCTCAGAAGTTCTAGTCTTTAGTTCTGTGCTTCCCCGACTAGCCAGCAGACACAGGGCGTAGCTTGTCCACACTGGGAAGGCCAGAGAAGCTGTAGAAGTCACCCATCTGTTTCACTACTTTCCCCTGCAACACCAGATTGCAGTAGCTCTCAGCTGCTCTTCCCTTAATTTCATACTCACGTGCTTAAACACATATGTATGTGTGCATACACACATATGAATGTATGCATACTGTCATAGGCTCACACGTTTGTATACCTGCAATGTTCACACACTTGAGGACCATCTGTGGCTTGGTGACATGAATCCATCAGGGGCTTCCCCTAACATCAGACTTTGCCACGTATATGCTTAGCTATATAAGATGAGGCTCTAGAACACAGACTTCCTGTCTCAGTGGCACTTGGAAGACCATCTTGCAACTGATGCATGAGTACAAGACTGAAGGTGCAGGAGGAGGAGTTTGGGGTGCTCAGGACCCTGGCTTCTCCTGTCCCCAAGAGAAGGCACAATGCCTGTCCTATAGAACTGCAGGCCTTCGTGGGTAGAGGCTGCTTTGATCCCAGCCTGAGTGGCTGAGTAAAAGGCCTCAGCCTGTTACCAGGAGGCTCTCAGGAAGCAGCTGGCCAGGCCTTCATTCTAAAGCAATGGCTTAGTGTGATGAAAGACCAGGTTTCAAATGTTCCAACGACCATACACCAGTCATTTTTCAAAATACACGAAAAATGAATTATTCAGAAAATGAAATTTGAAAAACATGTACACAATATAGCCAAAATTTTAATCTATTAGATACAAGTATAGCTAAGTTGAAGCTTTTAAACAGTTACTCACAATTTCTCTCTGTATCTCATCACAAACTATATCACATGAGGGTAGACAGGCTAGTTTGCACCCTACAGTGAGCAGTATAGCTTTAACTCATGCACCTGGGTTCAAATCCTGCTTCTGCTGTTTGTTTCCTGACTGTCCAGCAGCTGGCTCATAAGTGCCTTGTGAAAAGTCCATTGAGGTGCCCACAGCAGTGGTCCTGTGCCTGCCCCAGTGACTTCTCATTCCTGTCCACCACTGGCCTAGTGCTTGGTGGGCTGGGAAGGAAGAACTGGCAGGATGTAGCCTCTTTCTCTGGACAGAGACCATGAAGGTGGATGTAAACAGAGGGAAACCCAGGCAGAGGCTCCAAGAAGAGCAAGCCCCTAGCTAGGGAGGTGACCTTATCTGGCCTTGTAGTAAGGGAGGGCTCAATAGGAAGGACGAGGGACAGAAAGGAAGCCTTACAGTGAAGCCAGCAGCTCAAGGCAGGAGGTGGGCTATGGATGTAAAAGCAGCCTGGGGTCTGATCAGAAACTTGAGGCAGCCCAGGACTACGAGGGAAGTGGGTCAGCACAGGGAGCAGGACAGGTTGCAGCCCCAAAGCAGGACAGGCACTCAAGAGTCTAGAGAGAATGTTGGCTGGAGGAGGGATGGGGTCAGGAGAGTTCTGAGGCCTCCTGGCAGCAGTGTTAGGCTCTGAGGGCTGCTGCAGAGGCTGCATAAATGGGGTGACTCAGGTGCAGGGTCATGGCTTAGGGGCTGGCACCTGACAGAAGAGCAAAGCTTATCAGGCTCACTTATTCAGAACTCAGCCCCTTGGGAGCGCGCTGGCTGTCGCTCACCTTCATTCCAGCCATTTCTAGGGCTCTCTGACAGCAGAAAAAATTCATAGCCATTGATTTTGTAATTAACAGTTTATCAATGCCATTGATACAGACTTACTGATGGATTGGAAAGAAATTAATCTTGCAATGTTATTTTATTTCATTTTTGGTCGAAGACACCTGCCAATTTTGGCTACTTGGGGAGGGTGACAGGATGGGGAGCAGGGGTCACGGGTGCTGGGGGCTGGGTCCCAGCCATGCATGGCCAGGCATGTGTTAGCATGAGCTGTGAGTGACTGAGAGTACAGCACCAGAAATGTATTTAATCCTCTTGGGTTTGGTAACAGGGAACAGAAAACTGTGGAGACCTGGCTATGTCATGAGTATTCCCAGGCCTGCAAGGGCGGCCACCCTAGACCAAGTCCCCCCGTGACGATGATGGCTCTTCTTAGTGCCTGGTAGTGTGCTCTCTCATTTAACCTTCTTTGCCACCTTATAAATATGCGTCCCTGTTTGGTGCAAGATCTGAGGGGCTAAGTAACGTGGCCAAAATCAAACAACCTCTAAGACTCTAGAACCATTTCTACCACATTCTCCTGCCCCTTCTTCCTCCAAATGAAAGAGGCAGGACCCTGGAAGGTACAGGCCAGGAGTAGACCCAGAGCTTCTAGAGCATCACTGGGGCCAGCCCATTGGTGTAGCTGTCTGCCGTCTACACATCATGCACAGGATTTGCCTGCTCTTTTGAGGAATCCAGGAAGTTGGATAAGTTCCCTCTGTCTGCAAGGCCTTTGGCAAGCTTTGGGGCTGCTGTGCATGGAAGCAGCCCAGTACCTGAACAGAGGGTGGCTAGTTAGTTCTCCCACAAGGCAGGTTCTGGGGGATCCCCTTTGCTTGTTTTGCTCAGACCCGACTCTACCCCAGTATCAAATGGTGCCTCCTGCGCTGCTGGGATTTCCTTCAACCCCCAGTAAATGGCCCAAGGTCAAAGCCCATGTTAATGTTTTTGTTCTTTGCAGTGCCGAGGATCCGAACCAGGGCATCCTGGGCAAACACCCTGCCATTGAACTATATCCCCACTGCTCCCCACATGACCAGAGAATTACCACTGGCCTGCCTCTATCGCTATACCCCTTATCCCCCTCCCCCAAGTATCTAGACACTGACTCTACCCTTCAAGTCTCTTCTGTAGCTAGAATTTTGTAAGGTTAGTGACTAGTGCAGACTGCAGGTGTCCATGGTTCAGCAGCATGGTGAGGAGTGACAGTGATAGTGATGGCAGTGACCACCCTTGACACAGGCATTTGATTGTTCTAAACCCTGTATAACTCTCTTAACCTTTTGAGCTAGGTATGGCTGTTATCCCAGCTCAAAAGTAGGAAAATGAGGCACAGAGAAGTTAAATAACTTGACTAAAGTCACACAGCCTGCAAGTGAGGGATGATTCAGGCTCTGCCAGCCAGGTTCCAGGGTCCCCTTGATGCCTCCAGGGCATCTGACCGGCCTGTCCGCCCATGTTCAGGCTGATGATGGTCTCTGGGGGAGGGGGTAACCCAGCTTCACCATCAGCCTCTGACAGCCCTGCAGCCAGGCTCTAAGCCTCATTCTGTGCTCTGAAGTCAGCCTTTGAAGGCTGACCTGCTGCCTGCTGGTATCCTCCTGCCTTGGGACAACCATCCCCCACCGGGACTGACCATCTCCTTGTACCTACAGATTCCATGTACATAGAGGACCTGGAGGCCGTGCAGAAGCTACAGGACTTACTGCATGAGGCGCTGCAGGACTACGAGCTGAGTCAACGCCACGAGGAGCCTCGGAGGACGGGCAAGCTGCTGCTGACGTTGCCCCTGCTGCGACAGACAGCCGCCAAGGCTGTGCAGCACTTCTACAGCGTGAAACTGCAGGGCAAGGTGCCCATGCACAAACTCTTCCTGGAGATGCTGGAGGCCAAAGTGTGATGGCTCCACACACTGATAGACTGAGAGACAGACCCACGTGGAGACCTCCACAGTCACTAGCCTCGGCCTTCCATCCCTGCATCGGGGCTCCGAGCTGTTCCAGAGGAAGGGGTTTCCTGCTTCCTGGACACATGCAGACTCCTGGGGGTGGCAGGATGGGGAAGACAGGGATGGGAGGGTGAGGGCCGGGGGCTCATCTGTCACCCGCATTTTCTTTGGTATTTTTTCCTTCTCCATGGACAGTGCTAAGGCTTGGGCCAGGGCTGATTCCTCTTAGGGCTGATTTCCCTTAGGCCTGGAGGACACCAGAGGACACACCCCTCCCCCCACAAAGCCACCAAGATGCAGTGTGTCCATTTCTGGACCCCTCCCCATCCACAGCCTGGGTGAACCAGTGCTCAGTGCCCAGGACTCCAGAGACTCATATCTGGTACTAACGGAGGTACTGTTCCCACAGTGGGCAGAGCCTGGGACAGGAGTGTTTTCAGAGGCCCTGCTTGCTCTGAGGTCCCTGTGGCCGCTCCTCAGGCCCCTCTCCTCAATCCAGCTGGCTCCCTTCCCATCCTCTTTTCCTCTGTGCCCTAGCACATCTGGCTCCCAGTTGGTGCTCCTACCAGCCTACCAGTGGTCTCCACCCCCCTAAGAGGCTCTTTCCCTGCTTCCTTGCCCTACCTTAGCCAGCACAGATGACTCCAGGGTATGTAGACAGAACTGGCTCAGAGAAGGGCAGGGTCCAAATCTGTACCCACTTCCCCTTCTGCTGTCTCCTTTTCTTTCTCCTTCTTCCTCCTCCTCTTCCTCCTTTTCTTCAACCTAGGCAGGGCCAATCCAAGACTCATGGGAAGTTAAGGACCTGATCCCATAAGAGGACTGGGGCCTCACCCAAGGCCAGCAGCTCTGGGTGACTCAGCAGCAGAGAGGAATGTAGCGGCACCTTGGAAAGGAGGAGGCTTTGGGGATCCTTCTCCATTCCTCTGTATCACAAAGGAGCAGATTTCATGCCCTAGGAAGGGCTGCCCCCTGCCACCCTTACATCAGACACATTTGACATAACTCCCCTGGGTCAACTCTTGGCAGGCTTCTGCAGTCTACCATCCCACTCTTGAGATGTCCTGTATCCCAGGAAACCCCTCAGCCTTGAGCACATGGGAACAGTTTGTTGTCCTGTTTTACTCAAAGGATAGCCCTGTCTCATTGGTGTTTGTGGGCTGACAGGCTCTCCTGGCAATGAAGGAATTCAGTCTGATTCAAAATGGACCTGCCAACCCTCCTGGGGCACACCCCTCTCTAGGCAAGAAAGGTAGATCTCACCCCTCCCTGGAGTGCACAGCTCTTTTCCAGGCTGTTCCTATAGGAGCAGCTGTCACTGCCCTGTCTCCCTGGCTGGGCGACTCCAGGAGCTGCAAAGATTCTAGACAGGACAGCCAGTTCCCATAGCTGGTGTCCTCTCATAGGAAAGGTTTTGTGCTTCCTAGAATAGCCCCTCCCTGCTTTTTAGCCCATGGGGAATCTGATCTCAGAGTCACACTGCATGAGCCAATGTTGAAGGCATCCATACCCCCTTGTTTGTCCCTGATCAATACAGGTGCCACCTTTCTATTATTAAGGAACTGGGCTAAATGTCAAGTCCAGTGTAACTGTTAGGGGCTGGGCCCAGGGTCCTGGCCTGGAGAACTTTGTGAGAACTTGAGGTATTCTCTGAAGACCATTCCCCAGTGAGTTGTGGAAAGAAGGTGTCACCCCAAATCCCCGGTTCTTTGTACTTTTGCCCATACCAGTAGGGGCAAGGCTGTACCCACAGCTAACATTTGCAGTTGTCTTTTGGGAAAGGTGTCTAGTTGGCGAAGTGGCCACTGCTTTGGAACATTAGCTGATCAGTGGACAGCCTTGCCTCCATGGTCTACAAATTCAGGTACCCCAGATGGAGCCCCTTGCCAGCCTGTTGTCCCTAGATGAAAGCTGCTTTTCCAAGCAACGGGAATATACCAGTGACAGTGGAACTCCCTGTGGGAAAGCTGAGTCCACTCATTAGGCACCTGGAGTGGGAGGGTGGAACCAGCCAGATAGAGACTTCATGATGAGGAGTCCAGGGCACTGCCCACTGAGATCCTGAAAAGAGTCTGGATCTTCCACATCCCAGGAATCAAGGCAGACTCCAGGCTTCATCCCACATCTCCCATTTCTGGAAAGTCTAGGGAAGAGAGCCCTTCTCAATTGTACACTCATGATACAGGTTATTTTAAACCAAGAAATAAAGCATACCAACCATGGAGAAGGTGGTACTGACTGGGCTTTGTTTCGTTCCCTGTTCCCATCCTTTCTAAAGGTTCTATCTAGATGACTTTATTGTGTCTCCCAATTTTGCACACACAGACTGATTGCTTCCCAGGGCCACAATTTGAGGACTAAGAGCCTCTCATTTGGGGTTAACAGGATCAGAGCCTATGCTACCTGTGCCTGGTCCTTCCCTCCAGACTCCACTACCTTGAGCAGGCTGAGGAGGATGACAGACTTGAGACCGAAGGGCTCAGTCCCAAGCCCATGGAACAGCACCAAAGAGAAGCGCTATGTGGAGAGATTGCTTTATTTTCTGATAATGATACCGTGACTGGAATGGCTTCTTGAGATGTATATATTTTTTAACCGGCAGTCCCTCATGCCGCCTCACCCTCCTGTACGTATTTCTTGTATATGTTCTTCTACAGCCCCCATGTAAATCACACATCATAGAAGTCTCTCATCCAGTCCCATGTATCTGGAATCTAATAAATAAGGAAAGGCCTGCTGAGTTTTTTTCATGCATCGTCTGCCCAAGCTCACTGCCTTCTGGACAGTACCACCCTCAGGTCTCATGTTGATACTGGGAGAGGCCACCTTGGGAGCCTCACTCTGGGAACCCAGGGGTGCGGGTCACATGGATATTGTAAACATGAGCAGTGCTTACCTAGCATTCAAGAGGCCCCAGGTTCAATCCCCAGCACCACAAAACAACAAGTGTCATCAGTGACAATTTGACTTGAGACACCTGATGCAGGTCAGAGAAGCCTGTCACTACTCTCTGTGAGGATCTTAATTGTTCCTCTTAATACCAGAACAATGGGTCATCAGCCTCATGTCAAGCACAGCAGTGGCTGAGGTTGCTGCAGGTGTTCTCAGAGGTCATTGGACCAGTTGCCATGTTCTTGGTATCTGGTTTGAAGAAGTGCATGCACATTGCAACACGACAAACTTCATTCAGAAACAAAGTGATAGTACAGATCAGATAGAGGCAAGAAAGCCTCTGGCTCCATGAGTTAGAGCACTCAAAGGCCCCAGGTTACTCCCTGGGGTTTCCTTTTCTGGAGAGAAGTTGGTGGTTCACAGTTTTGATTGACAGGCTTGAATTACATAAGTCTTTGCTCACTGCTCACGTTCCTTGTCATTGATGCATCTGATTTTAATAGACGTAAGATGGTAACTAAGGTGTAGGCACTCAAAAGTTGATTCAGCTTGGATTGGCCCACTGCCTCTAGTTTCCAGATGAGTTCTGAGATGTGTTTGAATGGAAACTGATCACAAAAGGGGGTCATCAAGGGATTGCTAAGAGAGGAGCGACCCACTCCATTATTTGAAGGGAGATATATGGGCAGCTTCATGTTGGCTGCGTTGCTAGGAGAGAATGTGCATAGGCCAAGACAAGCAGAGTCCTATATCACTGTGCTTCCCTGTCCCACCGGCATGTTCAAGACCTGAGAGTAGAGAGGAGGGACTAAAAGGGTTATATCAGGATGCTTTGTATTGCAGGTAAAAGATATCCCAATCTGCTAAAAAAAAAAAAAAAAAAAAAAAAAAAAGAAAAAAAAAAAAAAAAAAAAAAAAAAAAAAATTATTTTGATATATCACAGTGAAAGATTTATCGTCCTCTTTTTTTTTTTTTTTTTTTTTTTTTTTTTAAAAAAAAAAAAAAAAAAAAAAAAAAAAAAAAAAGAAGAGAGAAAGAAAGAAAGAAAGGAAAGAAAAAAAGAAAGAAAAGAAAGACATCCCAATCTGAAATTGGCTTATGGAAAGTTATTGCCTTAGAGTATAAAAATTGTGCGTGGTGTGTGTGTGTGTGTGTGTGTGTGTGTGTATGTGTGTGTGTGTGTTTCCCAGAAGTGGGCATCAGGCAGGGCAGTTGCAAAGTCTAGAAATCTGGCTTGATTTTTTTTCTTTTAATAGTAAAGGTGGATTTATTAGGTTAGCTAACACCATATAATCTGAGTGTTCCAACAATGGCTGTCTCAGAGGGCGAGAACCAGGTGGTTGCTCAGTGCCTCAACAGTCCCAATACCAAATACAGCATGGGGGCGGGGGGTAGAGGGGTTTCTGGAAAGTAGCTTGCTCCACTCTTCTGATTCCGTTTCATCTTGTTTGTCTGCTTTGTTTTTAAATGAACCTCTTTCATGGTAGCAAGAGACAGCTAGTTTTTTATTCATACCCTAGGACCGAGTGGGAGGATCTCCTGCAATTATGGAAAAATGCCTAGGCTTTTCTCTAACCCAGGGGTTTGAGGCCTCTCCCTTAGGGAATCACTGGCCAACTTGGGGTGGGTGAGTCCCATTAAACAGCCTCACTGCTAAGCAACTGGAAAGGAGTGGGCTGGAAACCCAGGCACACACACATGTATATACAACATGTGTGTACCCTGCTTTCTTAAGAAAGGTAATCAAGATGAAAATCAACAACATATAACACGTCATGCCAGCTGGAAGAGCAGAGCTGGGGTCTATAGTGGTGGGACTTGGTGGAAAGTTCAGGCCCAGTGGGAGAAATCAATACCAAGTTTGAGAGTCTATGTGTGTCAAGGGAGATACCACCAGGGCAGAGGATGGTAGGTTGGCTAACCAGGAAACAGGGAGTATACTTCATCAATAACAGATGGAGCACAGATGCCCTTGACAGCTCTGAGTTCTCCTCCACCCCCAGTACACAGCCTCCATTGCTCTCCACTGTGCCTCAAGGAAGGCAGTCCCCTTCTCTACAAACTCTGCATTCTGTGGTGTCAGTTACCATGGTCAATCATCCTGAAAAACATGGGAAATTCCAAAAATAAATTCATAAGTTTTAAATAACTTTATCACAATTAGTGCTTCTTATTGTTTTTCTCTTTACCTAAATTAAATGGTATCATAGGTATGTATGTATGTATGTATGTATGTATGTATACATGTATGTACGTACAGGAAAATATAGCATATACTGGTCAGTACTGACTGAGGAAGCTGTCCACTGTGGATAAAAGGGAACCAGGATAAATTTCATTTTCTGATACTGCTTTATGAAGCAGCAGGGACTCAGCAACTACCTGTATACCATTATTTGCCAGATGAGAGAAATAAGCCAAAAGGAATCTTCTAGAAAACACCCTTTCTGGGCAAATCAGAGCTGTGACCTGAGAGCTTATCTTCACCGTAGTCTTAGGGAACAGTGTGGAGAACCAGGAAGCTCACTGGTCTCCATCCATTTCCTTAATAGTTGATTTTTATCTTCCTTAGTTTCATTTTTTATTTTATTATCATTGTGTGTATAAGTGGGTGGGTATGTATGATGTGTGTGAGGGTGTGGGTGCACTTGCCATGCAACTATGTGGAGGCCAGAGGACAACTTTATGAGGTAAGTTCACTCCTTCCATCATTCCATGGGTTTCTGGGGT